CTTACCTCCCCTCTCTCTCCTCCCCGTTTATTTTGTTTCCCTTTTCTTTGTTTTCTTCTTTTTTCCCCTTTTCTTTCTTTTCTTTCTTTTTCTTTCTTTCCTCTCCTCCCTCATTTTCTTTTTTTTTTCTCTTTCTTTCTTCTCTTTTCTTTCCTTTCTTTTCCTTTCTTTCCTTTCTTTTCCTTTCTTTCTTTTCTTTTCCTTTTTTTCTTCCCTTTCCCTCTCTTTTTTCCCCTCCCCCTTTTGTTTTTTTTCCCGACGGCAGCGCAATTTTATCGACAATATCCTGACAGGTGGGGGTCGGCCCCCACACCCCCCACCCCTCTTTGGAGACGCCCCTTGGGTATCAGCTGTATGTTCCGATGGTCTGATCGGCCTAGTTGATGACACGCCCTGGACTAGTATGCGTTTGAATATTTCCGTAACACAGTTCTATCCCCTCTTGTAGGAATTTTAATGTATTGTTCATAATCTGGTAGGGAGTTTTCTAGCCGCAACTGGTTAAAGTCGCCCAATATGAAGATTGGGGCGTCAGGGGCAACTGCCTCTAAACGATGCATGTTCTCAATTAGAATTTCACTGGCAGTGGTTAAGTCTGCCCGAGGATGTACGTAGCAAACTGTTACAAATCTATGGGGAAACTCTCGGGAGAGAGTCTTGTCCCACTGAGATTAGCTCTATGTCTCGTTTACAATTCACATCTTTCACCGTCCAATGTTGATGTATAGGCATATACCTCCTCCCCTCAACTTTCCGGACTCCCTCGTTCTGTCCCCTCTGACCATTTGCTCTGACCAATTCAAAATTAGGAGTATGTTAAGCACTGTCTGGTATTGAGTCATTTAGCCAAGTTTCACTAAATCCCATGATACATGTTTCTCTGTAGTTATGCATATATCTTGTAAGGGTTTCTAGTTCATCTATCTTGTTAGCAAGGGATCGCACATTGCCGATGTGACTAATAATATTCTTCTGCTGCAAAATAAAGTTGTACGCATATATGTACCCGAGCTGGTTATCGTGACCATGCTACCCCACCATTTGTTCAACTGAAATGCTTAAAGGTTGATGATATATAAACTTCCTCCAAATTGCCATATTTATGTTCCATTTCAATATCAAATTATCACCTACGTCATTATCTTTAATGTTCCAACCTAATAACATGGTTCATTCGTATTCAACGAGGCAGTCATCGAATTTACATGTGATCAATCCTCACACTACATTAGTCCCGGCATTAGTCTAGAAATCAATTAGACATAGAGGGTCAGATGTATGGAATTCTTTACCTAATGATATTCGAAATATAAAATCAACAAACTCCTTTAAAAGAGCACTCAAATGTATTATCATTTCACAGATGTAAGATATTACTTACATTAATCTATACACTGTTTATCAATCCTAATTATATCGAACATAATTTTTTTTTCACTACAAAACTTTAGGAATTGTTACTTGTCATAATAGTATATTTGAAAGGTGTTGTAACGATTCAAGCTCTATTTGCTTATGTTTCATCACCTTTGCAACTTGTCATTGATAAAACATTGTTATATTCTTTGTCACGTGAAGTCAATTCAAATGGATTGTAAAATTGAAATGATTTGTTATATTATATTCATTGTTCATGTGATGTTAACTTCAATGTATTGTGAAATTGTGAACATGCATGCATGCATAAATAAATAAATAGATACATAAATAAATAAATAGATACATAAATAAATAAATAATCATACTAGGTAGGGCTGGTTTCGTTCCCCTCTTCCTTGAGCGTACTCTGAGCCCCCCTCGGGAAGCCTGGTTACAGCTCTCCCGGGTAGCCTGGTTACAGCAATCCCTGGTTGATGCTACCATTGAAAGGAAAGTGGAATGGCATTACACCTGAAAAAACCACCAGATCTCATTCCCCTTGTGACATCATCTGTCAGTCATCAATGAGCTAACTTGAGAAAGTGGTATGTATCTTTTCCGAAGTCGGCCACCTGTTAGAATACGTAATACAATAGCAACATACAATTTGCTATGACAGACATGCTGTAGCATCACCAGGAAGACAAAGGCAATGATGATGTATTGTACATGTATGGAAGCATGCAATTCTATTTTTGAACGTGTGCTAAGCTGGGGGAAATGACATACCATTGTCTATTTATTCTAGAATATTAGTTTAGTCTGACATGTCTGACATAGCAACTTATGTTGCTATTGTTTGTGGTATTGTAACAGGTGGTCAACTTTGGCAAAGTTACATGCCACTTTCTCAAGTTAGCTCGATCATTGATGACTGACATATAATGTCACAAGGGGAATGAGATCTGGAGGTTTTGGGGTTGAGCTTGAAAACCAAATATTTCAAAAAAACATTTAAAAATCTAGGAATCAAATTCAGAAGTTTACATATCAAAATATGAGATGTATGCAGGACTGCACACTAACAGGAATACATTTGTATTTCAATGTCATGTTTACTGCATATTTTGTTTATAGGTTGTTTTGTATTTTCTTATTGTCATTTGTATCGAATTGTGCATGGAAAGACTAAATTGAATTGAAGAAAAGTATCAAAATACTTCTGCCCTGACGGGCGGGCAATATGCGATGAAAGATAATAGACGGAGGGGGCCCTCCCGGGGGGCAGGGGGCACAGTGCCCCCACTTTTTCAGATACCCCAAAAGTGCCCCTTTTTACATAGGAAAGTGCCCCTTTTATTTTGAAATAAGTGCCCCTTTTACATAGGAAAAGTGCCCCTTTTACTTTGACAAGTGTCCCTATTACTTAGTAAAAGTGCCCCTTCCCCCTTTTCACCTCTGACGAGTGCCCTTTTTATTGTTGACATGTTCCCATTTTCCTTTGCAATTAGTGTCCATTTTCCATTCTCATAAATCTTGAAATTATCTTTAATAAATGCCCTTTTTAATCTCTAGTAAGTGCCTCTTTTCAGGTACGAGAAGTGCCCCTTTTCACTTTTGATAAGTGCCCCCTTCACCTCTGATAATTGCCCTATTCAAAACTGAGAGGTGCTCCTTTTACTTTGACAACTGCCCCTTTTTTCCTTGTATAAGAAGTGCCCCTTCTGATTTTAATAGCTACCCCTTTTTTAAACTCGGATGAGCACACCTTTCATTTTAACATGTGCCCCTTTAATTTTCTGATAAGTGCCCCTTTTCCTTGTGATAAGTGCCCCCATTAAAAAGAAAGAGCTCCTTCCCCTTCTCATAACTGCCCCTTTTAAAAATCTGAACGGCGCCCCCTTTGCATTCAACAAATGCATATTTTCCTTTATTATAAGTGCCCCTTTTCACCTCTGATAATTCCCCTGTTAATAATGATACGTGCCCCTTTCCTTTTCTAATAAGGGACCAATCCCCTTTTCACCTCTTATAAATGCCCCTATCAAAATCTGATGGGTGCCCCTTTTCCGTCAACAAATGCCTATTTCCCATTTTCGTAAACGCCTCTTTTTCATCACTGGTGAGTGCCTCTTTTTAGGTAAAAAATGCCTCATTTTCATCTCTTATAATTACCCTTTGTACTTTCACACGTGCTCCTTTTCTTTTCTAATAAGTGTCTTATCCCTTTCGAAAATTGTCCCATTGTTATGTACTCATTAAACGAGCATTAAAAGAGCAATTTCCCCAAATCAAATCAAAGGTCTTTTCAGTCTTCCGTAATGAGAATGTGCTTATAACCCCATCACGATTGGCTTTTTTTCCTTTTTATAAGATGTAATTTTTCGCACTGCGACATCACAGATCTTTAAAATTTTTCTCGCTCGCTTCGCTCGCTCGTAAATGCATATTCAGACATCACACCCAACTGTAAAGTATGATGCTTAAGCGATATCTTGTATGATGTATGAAGAGAAACAAATATTGAAATCATCCCTGATAATGTAATCATACTAATCACAATGTAGGAGTATATACCAATGTCTAAAAAATGGTATATTTCCGCTTTGAGATTTCCCACTGTACCCAGGACCAAAATCCAGTTGAAACCAATTAAAGCAAAACCAATTGAAACCAGTTGCCAACTGGTTTCAATAGGGAAATTGGAACAACTGGTTCCAATTGAAACCAGTTGCCAACTGGTTCCAATTGAAACCAGTTGAAACCAATTGCCAACTGGTTCCAATTGAAACCAGTTGAAACCAATTGCCAACTGGTTCCAGTTGCCTAATTGGTTTCAACTGGAACCAGTTGTTCCAATTTCCCTATTGAAACCAGCTATTGAAACCAGTATATACCAATGTCTAAAAAAATGGTATATTTCCGCTTTGAGATTTCCCACTGTAGGTGCCCTTTTTTTTCCCCAGAAAGTGCCGTTTTTTGTTGGTGCCCCCCCCCCCCCCCCCCCCCCACTTTGGAAGTCGCTCGGCCGCCCTTGATAATAGATAGGTAGATCTGTTTTTTATATATATAAATGGGCTCGGGCGGTCTCCTACTGAGTCTCTCCCTCTCCTCCTGTCTGGATGGCTGGCTGGCTGGCTGGCTGGCTGGGCTGCGGCGTTGGTGGCGGTGGCCACTGGGTGGATCGACGGGCGAGCGACGAAGATCTTTGAGATGATTGCATTCGAAAAGACAACTGAAAAATTCACTAGATCTACTATTTGAACGGTTGAACGACAAATCGTTAATATTTGGCCCATATTGCGTTGGTATATATTAATGCATGATATATATTGGATGATGGGATGAATTAAACGAATTTTCTTAATGGGAGAGGGGGACGCAATTTTCGCTGAATAACAATTACATCATCAACATCCACATTCCACTCCCCCCCAAAAAAAATTAAATGAATAATATACATCTATATTCTTAGCTGTACTCTGTTCAATACTAATAGCGATGGTGCGGATAGAAAATAATTAATTTTTTACTGAAATAATTTTCTATCAAAGGCGCCAGAACTATAATTATAAACTCTGACAGTAGTGTGAGAGTTCAGTGGCCATTAACATTTCATTTATGTTGTTACATTACAAGACACCATGACAGTTGCAGAAATAAAGCCGCGGTAGTTTTAAAAACGTTTGAAGGAGGCTGTGAAAAAATGAAATGTTAAAGTAACTGGACTGTCAATCATCAACAAAAAATGGAGGCTGATAAGCTCATCATCAGAAGTAAAACCCCAGATGGTGTATTAAGCTTTGATGAATATGGATTTGCTGTGTTTTCAGAAGATCAAGCGGATATTGAGCGTAGCCATAACTACACCAGGTAAGCTCCTCCTCCGACCCAACGGCATGCTCAGGCTAGCGCTAGCGCCACGACCGCCTCCCGCTCGGGCCGGTCAACGTCAGGGGCATGTCGGACGTAGTTGATGGGGTGCACTGTAGCTGTAATTGGCGTTGCCTGAGCTAGCTGAGCTGTGCAGCTGCAGCGCTGACAGTGACTGACTGTTTTAAATGGGTTCAAGAATGTACCCAGTGAGAAGCATCAAAATGGATCATGTGTGCACACATATGCACCTGCGTGTGCACAGGGAACCATAGACAGAAATAACCATCTGATTTGGGTCATTTCTTTGACTTTAATAAAACTGACATTTGTTGACATTCCCCAATACAGATGGTAACCCAGTCCCAGAGATCTCGTAGTCGTACGGTGGGGGTAATTTTGAGCCACAGCGGAACAACTTTTCGTTCCCGACATTTCTCCCCCGATTTTCTTTATTTATATCTAGATCTAGACCTAGAGTCTAGATCCCTAGATCTAGATCTAATTTTCTGATTTCTAAATCAGATATAAATTAGGTCGGTATGTCATTTGTCCTAGACTAGATCTAATTACAGTTATCAAAAATTTGATAGATCTAACTTAATATTAAATGTATAATTTACGGACTAATTATATGAATTATCCAATTTGTATCTCAGAACTGTGAAACAGTACGTTCATGCACTCGAACATAGGGCTATATGACCCGGCGGCCAAAATATTTCCGGGTCAACCTACCAAAACATAGCCAAATGGCCAATCAGAGCACTCGTTTTGTGGGAGTTCGTTGGTCAAGCCGGGCTGACTCGTACGTAGCTACGGTAGCTATTGGACGTTCGAAAAGAAAAAATGAATATTCATCAACTAAAACCAAGACGGATAATGTTGACGACGAGACTTTCTCGGATTAATCATTAATTTAGGATCTAAATGAGCAAGCTATCATAAGTCAAATTCAATTCAATTCAATTCAATTCAATAATGGTTTTATTAAAAAACAATGCCTCGCAGCCAAAATGCTGAATTGTGCATGTTTACATGTATACATGAGCTTCATTACATAACATTATATTTCATTTGTTACAATCATTCATTCAAACAGTATTGGTAACATTTAACAGTATTCATGTGTAGCATTTAAAATCAATCACTAGATCTATATAGTATTTACATTTTTAAAATCTATTTAACTTCACAATAGTAATAACAATAATTGATCAAAAGCAATACAATACATAACATACAAATAAGAAAAAAGCTAATACTGAAATTATTGCACCTGTGTCTTTAACAATTCATATTCATTGGAAATTAAAAGTCAGCAAAATGTTTCTCAATGTTCCCTGTTCATCAACGGTAAGTACATAATTATAAATTGATGTCTCTGTAAAAAGATAAACATATTCCAGAGTGGGTTGTAAAACATGGTTTCCTACATTAAAACTTAATCATAGTTGGATATGTATTAAAACATTAGATAATGATAAACATATTTATCAAATATTGTTAATATGGGCAATTCCGTATGGGAAAGAGGAAAATCACCAAATTCTTAATTTGATCCAACTTCTATAATTTAACATTTTTCATGTGGACAAGAAATCACTTGTGACGGAACTGAAAACCGTTTTGAAATATCTTTTACGTTTTTTCTGAAAAATTTATTTGAAGTTGGGGCTATTTTGGGGGCCTCAATTACATGATCATGATTTAATTTCTTAAAATTCAATGGAGCAATGTATTTAAAACTTATTCCTCTATATTTATTCCTAATTGAACAACATCACAAATAGGAATCAAGTTTTGCAAATTATTTTCAACAAATGAAAAAAGTTTTTGTATGAGAGATTTTCAATTTTACCCTTAAAATGGCGTAATTCCGTTACCAAAATTTGAAAGAAGTTTTACTCACAAAGTTATTTCTTACTTTTTTTCTTTGTACTCGCAAATTCTCTTCCTTTATCAACATACCAACAGCCCTAAACATCAATTTCAGAGTTATCTAATTATTTTCCTATTAAAACACTGGTAACGGAATTACATGGTAACGGAATTACATTGGTAACAGAGTTACAAAGGGCAGCAGCATTACTAATGAGTGGTATGTTTTTCAAGAGATGGACCTGCTGCCTCATGTACATTATACTGTATGCTGTGTTACAACATTTTTAATGGATTTTGCCCCTTTTTTGAAAGTATTGGCTTAATGTCTAACTAAAGACTAAGGATCTGGCTTTGATAAATTCAATGAATATTTTTTTAAAACTTTTTTCAAATTTGCATAAAGACTACAAACTAGGCTGGGAATTTTAGATGTTTTTTTTTCATTCACTCTGAACTTGCAATTAAAATTGTACCAACATCTCTTATGAAACCTTTTGATTTAATTTAAGCATGGAAATACTTCATATTATTTCACCTATGGTGATTTTAAACGGTGCCTTTTCTGATTTTTATTCTTCACTGATCTCATCTAATCTATTGAAAAAATCACAAAAATATCATTAGAAGTTAGATAGCTAAGACCATAGCGGACTAGCCCTCTTGCAGACTGTGAATTTCCATACTCTACGTATTATACATATGGGACTATTAAAGGGAAAGGGGGGGGGGGGCAGGGTGACTTCGACGATGTCCGCTAGCACTCAAAGAAAATACCCCACGAAAACACCCTAAAAAACGGCTAGGTGGAGGTTGGAAAGCAAGGTCTACATATAAATCACACGAAGAAGGAAGAAGGATAATTCATTAAAAGTTAGATGGCTAAGACCGTAGCGGACTAGTCTTCTTGCAGACGGACGCTTTCGTTATATGGATGGGGCCATTGGAGGGGGGGGGGGGTAACTGTGAATCAGTCCGCTAGCACACACAGAAAAAACCTTTGCCGATGACTACATGTAGGTGGAGGTTGAAAAAGCAAGGTCTAATCTAGCGAAAAAATATTTAATAAAAAGTAAGAAGGCTTTGGCAGGTTCCGGACTAGTCTTCTTACAGACGGTCACTTTGCCGACTCGTAACACGTAAAAAATATGGGACTGAGGGAAGGTGTTCGCTAGCACTCAGAGAAAATACATTTAAAAACGAGAAGGTGGAGGTTGAAGGGGAAGGTCTAATCTATCAAAAAAACATGTATTTTATTAGAAGTTAGATGCATGGCTACGACCATAGCAGACTAGCCCTCTTGCAAACGGTTAAATTTCCATACTCTACGTATTATTCATATGGGAAGGGGGGGGGGGGGGGGGGGGTGGCAGGGCGCCTTTGACTAGATCGCTAGCGCTCAGAGAAGGTCTGTTTGGAATGAAGAATGATGACAATGGTCAAGTTTGTTACATGTTGTTAAATTCAAGAACACTGATGAAGTGTGTAATTAATTTTAAAAGAATGATAACCAACTATTAAAGAATGATAATAATTTAGTGAATTGGCGTAATGATTTACAAGGTTTGACATTTTATTGCGACTCTGTTGATGACGTTATCTTAATTATTTAGTTTTGAATAAGGTGCTAGCTTTTGTGGATTGAAATTGTAATATTGAATTATCTGACAAGGTTTGTAATTAATTTTAAAAGAATGATAACCAGTGCTCCCTCTAAGGCCCTACATTAATGTCACAAAATTGGCTCAGCAGGTTGAAAAATTGGCTCGACAGAAATATGAGATAGGGGAATGATTTACAAATTCTGGTGTGAAATATTATTGAAACGCTGTTGACAAAATGATAGCTATATTAAGCTCTCTTTATATAATTAGTTTAGATTTTGGTGGTTGGTTTTATGGACTGAAATCATTATAAATAAATATTCATGTGTTTTATTTTTAATTTACACCAAGATCCCTGTGTTGGGTGTAGGCAATGTTATTAGTAGCACTTAAGTGTTTTAGAATTGTTTGAATGCTTAAATGTAACCATCCACGACAAACAGGTTGTAATGTTGCAATTTTCAATCGATTTTGATCAAACCTGCATAAAATAAGCTTTGAAATAATGTATTGCAAGTGGTATTTGCTTGGTTAATAGGCACTCACAATAGGCAAAAAAAACAATTAAATATCCTAATTGTTTCCTATTGAATACTGGGGAGTTTATTGACCCGTTTCTATAAATTGCCTTGGCGACTTCACAACCAGTTTGTCATGTATGGTCACAAAAGTGATCTGTATATGTGTAATTCCGTTACCGGCAAATGGGCAATAATACATGTAGTTTGTCATACTTTGTGTGATGTTCCTACTTGCAAACTAAACCAAATTAAAGTTAGTTGTAAACTAGTATATGATAACACATATTGACATAAATTTAATCACTACACATCAATATTTTCTCAGAAATATCTTATTTACTTGCCATTTAACAATATAAAAGATGCGTTTTCCAATAGTTTTTAGAAATGAAGTACACATATGAATTGCTTTGTAGTTAAAATCAATTATTGCAACCCCTGAAACAATTAAACAACAATTTAAGCCTACATAATGTTTACAAAATCACTTTTTTTCAAGCTTATTTCAGAAGACGTAATTCCGTTACCATTTATGTAATTCCGTTACCGCTACCTTCTTTCATATACCATCCAGCATAGATAAACCATGACAACTTCACCCAAAAAAATCTTGCCATGGGAAGGTCAACAATATAAGCTCCCTTTATTAGCATTACTTCACCCTCAATTGGCTGCAGATTTCAGACGAAATCTTGTCAAAGTTATTGTAAAAAATAACCTGATTTTTCTGCCGTAATTCCGTTACCGACACTCTTTTGGTCCTGGGGTGTTCCGAATGTTGAAAAATAATTTTTTAAATTTTGATTTGCTAACAGGTGCAGAATACAGAAAGAATAAAAAGATAAATAATCACCTAGGTCTAACCACCTGTCTACAGTATATAAAAATAGAGCCCAAATTTCTCTGAAATGTAATTCCGTTACCGTGGAATTGCCCATATATACATTGTGTAAAAATACATTTCAATTATTCATTATTTTGAAGATCTATAAGGTATGGTATTGCACTCTTTCTAAATCTGTTAAGCTATATATATATATATGTTATTTTTAATTTTTATCATAATTGCAGCAGTTATGAGGATGTAAAGAGTGAAAATCTCGTTGCATATCTCATTCATCGCGGTCCGGTCGAACCGAACCATTTGTTCCGTACAGTCCCGTACAGTCCCGATAGGCCATACTTCAGTCTCTATAATCGGAGGTCTAGTGGAGCCAGACGTAGTCTCAGTGGAACAACCGACGATTAGAGAGACTGAAGTTTTTTCAGTCTAAGGGAACCAATGCTTTTTTAGCTACAAAACCATGAAAACGTGTCCCAAAAAGTCGTATAAATCACGTCACGTCATGCACGTCAATGAAATTTAAGAAAAGTCGCACCATGCATTGCACAGTTTGTTAACAAGGCTATGCTGTTGTGATTATCTGTGTGTTCACTTTATTTCAATGTTATGAAGATTGTGGGGCTGCGGGAGACAATCATAATCGCCTTGCCAGGCGGAGGACTGAAGTCCGCGTTGTTTGTAACGTGCCCCTTCCCTTGTTCATAGACGCAGGTTATGTCAAGTGGAAAACACTCCGTCCCTCGGATAGGATTTTAAATGGAGGCCCTGTGTACAGGAGAGTTACCACCCTTGCACGTTAAGAACCCATTGCACTATTCGTATTTAAGAGTAGGGGGAAAGCCCGGTGTAATGGTCCACCTGCACACCCCAACCAGGCCGAGTATACGGCATCTGCAAGAATCTTCAGTATTGAAGGAAGCAGATTATCTTGAAGAAGAAGAAGGAGAAGAAGTAGATCTAGATCTAAGATATATTAGAATTTACACCTATTTTATAAAACGAATATACTAGACCACAATGCCTGTACACAAGTTTTCGTGAGTGACGTTATTCGGGTATTCACAATGGCACAAAATGCACTTGGCTGCGCCTCATGCATTTCATCGCACCATTGTGAAAACCCTCAAGCGCTGCATCGCCATAAATAACGTCACTCACACCTGTGTATTATTTGAATATCACCGCCCAAAACCCACCGTCGGTATGCACTTGGGCAGGTCCAAGCTATTTGCTTTGTGACGTACGGGACATTCAGAGACTTTAAACAAGAAATAACAATGGATGTCATTATTTATATGGCTATCTTTTAGTATGAGTCTGTGGCTATTATGGGCTAGTTCATTTGTGAAAAGTTTTAGTTCTGACCAATTCATAAATTAATTTTTAATGTAATTAATGTGCTGCGTGACGTACGGGACCAGAGAATTTCTGACTTTTTCAAAAATAAGTTCATCATAAAAGTTCTCTGAATTTATCAAGTTATGAGATTTATGGTAATGATATCTTAATTCATTATGGAATCAAGCATTAATCACAACTATTACCATATTTTTCTGACCTTTCGTTATTATGTAATATACCAAAACATAAATGTGTGCACGTGACGTACGGGACACGTGACGTACGGGACAACTTTTCCCTATGGGAAAATGCATTGAAATGGAGAATTTTCGTCAAAATTTGTTAAATGTGAACAATTTTAACTTAAATCAGTGACAATTAGAGTGTTTTAGAACCCAATTAGATCCTCTGACCATTACTTAATATCATCTGTGTTAATTTATGAGGTAAATCAATACAAATATTACTTTAACAATGAAAACAAATTTAATTAATATTCATACACACTATATTATACCATTTTTTATTCCATTTACCCATCTATCATGTGCAGTCATGCTGCTTTTTTTTAATTTCTTTTATCCATTCCATTCAACATTGCAAAATGTTTTTAAACAATAATTAATGAAGAAGATGAACTTGAACTTGAAAACTTTTATTTAAACTTGTTTGAAACACAGGGGCACACTTGGCACATCATATTTTGTCAAAGAACATTTCTTATGTTCCAAGTGTTTGTGAACAAAGATACATTAAAAATATGAAGTATTTTCTTCATAGCTTGTTTGAATTATTTGATAGTAATATCATAGAATTTTGAAGGAATTCAAAGATAATGCTGGACATATTGTCTTTTTTATATCCTTTTATCACAGATTAGAACATGTATATGTTGCTGTCATATATTCAAGAATTTTGATGTACATTAATGTAGCCTACATGTTTGTGAAAGATGGATACAAAAATATAAATCTTGAATGTATTTCGTATTGATTAAAACATCTTATTAACACCACCAGATATAAGAAATTAAAACCCTAAACATTTGTGTGACCTTTTCCACAATTCAAAAGATTAATTTAAAGCAAACTCAACAAAAATGCATGGGTGTAAAAGTGATAAAAATCTTAGGTGGGTGAGAGTGTGAAATACTCAAAAAGGCTATCCTTCCTTAAAAGTTATGATTTAATTTTTAGGAGATCAGAATTCCCGAGCTGGCTTCATAAAATGTACAGTGCATGCTGTAATCCTTTACCATCATATATGACATTTAAATAGAATATAAAAAAACCTCACATGGAGAGCTTGATAGCATACATATGCTATTCTTACCTGCAGCATCTATGAGTTGTAAAAGCCAGCTTCTGGTGCATCCACTACCATATAATTTCATTAGACTCATTCCTGGAACTAGTACACTATTATGATTTACATATTTAGCATCCTGCCAATGTTGGAGACATCAACTGGCAAAATACCAAAGTTGATAATACCAGGGGTCTGGCTTGAAGACTAATTACATTAACAACAATTACATAAAACAACAACAAAAGTACAAACAAGTAAATTCCTAGAAGGGACCCAGTTGGAATGTTCATATATCCCTGTATACAACAAGTTTCCTATTATATTCTCCTTTTGGTCATTTCCTTTTTCACATCTCGCATTGGTTTTATATGGGGTTGTCCCGTACGTCACACACTTGTCCCGTACGTCACATTTCTTAATTTGATTATGTAATCAACACAGAATTTTCTAAATTTTTGTTAAACCTATTTTTTGTTAGGTATTCATCTAAATTAGAACTTCCTAGAATATCTTTAAAAAAAAAAATTATTTTCATTATTAAAATTAAACAAATTATGATCTAATTGTGACGTACGGGACATCACACTTTGGAACCTACCTCATTTGCATAATTAATTAATTTTGAAAGTTTTTATATTTTTTTCCTATTTTCTAGCATGATGGTCATCATGTCCTGAGATATTTAATTTTAAACAAATAATTCAAATGAGATACAAAAATAAAAATGTAATGTCCCGTACGTCACGCTAATTAATACAAATCGAAGTTTGTGACCTTGGCACTCTTCGTATTTTGATAATTTTTAATTTTTTTTATCAGATTCATAAAATTCATAGTTTCAGCTTTAAAATGAGGTATAGTTTGTTAAATATATATAAAGATGAAATTTGACCCCCAGAGGGGACAATAGCTTGGACCTGCCCACTTGTATTGTGCAGTGGTTTGCCGTGAAACGTGTACATGTACAGGTATAGATCTAGATCTACTGTTGTCTTCATGTTTAGGACAAATACTCCAAAAGAGATTACACAATTGACACAAAACAGGTTAGAAAGATATTGACTTTTAAATTATGGCCATTATTTTAACAATTGTTGAAGATTTAGTTGTCCATATTAGTCTGTACTGTCCATTTTCAACAGGATATATTCCTATCATCTTAAGCCACAACTTTCAGTCATTCATGATGTGACCTACAATGTACAACTGTACTTGTAGTACCGGTATGTTTATCCTTGTTTTTGTTGCCCTCTTTATATTCTAAAGTAGCTTGGAGAATCCATCTGATGAGCACCAGTTGGCCTGGGAGAGGTACGTTGCTGACTGGCCCAGCTCCTACATCAACTCCCCCAACAAGTTGAGATACCTACTGCGTAAGGGCACGCCCAGACCGCTGAGACCAATCCTGTGGGCCAAACTCCTAGGGTGTGAGCAGCAACAGAAAACGTCTTCATTCAGTTATTCGGTAGTTACTCATTATTCTTAAGTATCCTTTGAGGTGTTCACACTTGTACAAGCATTGCTTTTTAGTGGCCCCCTCTGTTGCCAATATGTACATGTATTTCTGCATTTGGTTGTACATGTTTATAATTGATTGGTAATGTTTTGTTGGAAACTGAAATGAATTGAAGTTGAAATTGAATTGAAATTGAATGACTGCTGAAGTTAACGATTTCTTAGAAAGTGTAGTGAAGTTCCTAGCTGTAGGAAAGTCTTATCAAAACAATTTCTCTGTGGAAAGCTAGTTAAAAAAATAATTAAAAAGCAATTTAGAAGTGAGCTATGACATGCTCTAAAAACTGTACAGCACTAGACAACCATAAGGAAGCTTTGGAAATGTCAAACGAGCTTAGTACACTTCAACAACAACAAAAACCAGCCAGGTATGGAGAGTTTAGGGAGAGATCGGGGGGGGGGGGGGGGGGGGGGGGGGGGGGGGGGCACATGTGAACAGAGTGACCCTTTTATGAATTTGAACCATTAAAAGGAAACAATGCAATTATTAGTTTCGGCGGAGACGGGCTTGAGTAGTGGCCTCTATTACAGTGTATGTTGATCCTTGTATGTGCATGTACATGTAAAGTATATGACATTAGCTTTGGGAATCGCAGATCATAGAGATGGGACATTTGATTAGCTTTTTATTTACTTTTTTAAAACTTTCCTGGAAGTCGGGCAAAACAAACCAATCACACTGCATGTCTAACCTTTGACCCCTACAGGAGTGCGTACGGGCTGTGCGTTCCCAGATGGTTGAGCTTGGCATCAGTGAGTACTGCTTCCACCCCCACCACCAGGTACTGGAGGATGAGGATGAGGAGGATACCGGTAGACTAAGGGAGGAGGAGAAGGAGAGACATCACCCGGCCAAGATGAAGCATCTCATCCCCCTGCAGATCCTCAGACAGATTGTCGTCGATCTAGGTGAATTCCTTCTGCCTTCCTGCCAGGATTTGCTTAGCCTTATGCCTCAGTTACACCTTTGCGTATTTGGCTTGCCTATTTATGGCAAGCCGTTTTAACATTTATTCCTTTTGCTTGATATCAAAAAATGAATTCTTGCTTACAACAGAAAATCATTTCTTGATATCAAGAAATAGGAATAAATGTTAAAACGGCTTGCCAGAAATACACAGCAATACGCAAACCAAATACGCAAGGGTGTCCTTCCCCCTTCCTCTCTCTCTCTCTCTCTCTCTCTCTCTCACTCTCTCTCTCTCTCTCACTCTCTCTCTCTCTCTTTCTCTCCCCCACTCACTTCCCCTATCTCACCGTTTAATAAACTCTCGCTCCATGCTTCTGTTTTTGCTCACAGAGCGTACATTCCCCACTCATCGTCTCTTCATGGGATCCAAACCGGAGGCGAAGGAGGGGCGTGCGTCTCTCTTCCGGCTTCTTAGTGTGTATGCACTGTACAACCCATCTGTCGGGTACTGCCAAGGTATGCCTTTATGTAACCAGGGGGGAGTGTTTCACAACGACTAAGATCGACTTTATTTTGGACTTAACTATGGCAGGCCGTTCATGCCACTTTGCTCTCACTATTTACTGGCATTGGTCTCACAAGGGATGTACAAATCATGGTCACAAATTTATCTACAGAATTTACATTTTTTGATAATTCATTAATGAAGGAAAACATTATCTAAAGATCATAATTGAGAGACCAATGGTGAGAGCATTTACTGGCATTGGTCTCTCAAGGGATGTACAAATCATGGTCACAAATCTACAGAACTTACATTTTTATGCCTCCGTTACGGAGTAGCCGGAGGCATTATGTTTTCGGGTTGTCCGTCTGTACGTATGTCTGTACGTACGTCCCATTCTCGTGATCGCGTTATCTGAAGAACCGATTGATGGATTCCTGCCAAACTTTGGTCATGTATGTATCTTGCAGAGCCGATGAACTGATTAGATTTTGGGGTCACAAGGTCAAAGGTCAAAGGTCACAGTATGCATGCTAAAACAGCTCGTGATCGCGTTATCTCAAGAACCGATTGATGGATTCCTGCCAAACTTAGGTCATGTACGTTACTTGCAGAGCCGATGAACTGATTAGATTTTGGGGTCACGAGGTCAAAGGTCATGGGCTCATTATGTATGCAAAAATAGCTTGTGAACGCATTCTCATTAGAACAGATTGATGGATTCCTGCCAAACTTCATTTATGTATCTTGCAGGGCCAATAAACTGAGTAGATTCTTGGTTCATAAGGTCAAAGGTCAAAGGTCATGGGCTCATTATGTATGCAAAAATAGCTTGTGAACGCATTCTCATTAGAACTGACAGATGGATTACTATTTAACTCAGGACATCTTGCAGAGCCAATGGACTGAGTAGATTTTAGGGTCATGAGGTCAAAGATCAAAGGGTCATATATGTATATGAGAAATTGCTTGTAATCACGATATTCTGAGAACATGTTAATGGATTACAATTGAACTTGAATTTCAAAAAATTCTTCTGTTTTAGTTTGTAAAATTGCTTTATGATGGAGGCATCATTTTCGACTGCGCGCAGTCGAAGTTCCATCTAGTTTGATAATTCATTAATGAAGGAAAATATTATCTAAAGATCATAATTGAGAGACCAATGGTGAGAGCAAACAGTGGCATAAACGGCCTGCCATGGTTAAAGATGAAGTTGAGTTCTGGTCATGCGATTGCATTGTGAAATAAACGGTGTGGAACCGACCAGAAAAGGTTTATCATCTAGCATATAAGACTTTGTGTGTATTGCAAGGTTCTGGAATCATCAAAATGATAAGAAATTTGGCCAAGTCTTGGTAAAGTTACAAATACTTGCACAGAAAGATGTATATGGGACTACACGAACATGTAGCGTAAAAAGCCGGCCCCCGATTTTACGATGTTACATGCATATTTAGAATATGAAGGCATTTGAAGAGCCATGCTTTTCAGGGAACATGTCTTAACTGATGTTCTTCCACACTTGCATAATAAGAATGAGTAATGCTCACAAATTATTTTTCACCTCTTCCTAGAACTCAACCTTCTCTTTAAGTACAACTTAATGTCGATCTTAGTCCTGTGTAACACCCCCCAAGTGATCATTTTATATTCTTTAAATAGTAAACGATTTGTATCCCCTTTGTCATATGATATGTTCAGGTGCTTTCTGCTTGACAATCCTTGTTCTTTTTGAAGGTATCCTTCCATCTACATGTATGATTTCGCCAATTTGTGTATTTATGACCTTTGTATCATGTGTATGGATGAAAGATAAATGAAATTGTAACTGAATTAAAATTGAAATACGTGTATCATATTTCTGCACAAAGATTCAATCAGTTTAATTTTGGCCATTACCAGAATTGGGTTATCGATGTAGAAAAATAATCATGTACCTGTTACAGCTCATTTTAGGTATGTTATTACCAAAGAAAGTGTCTGACAGTGAAGTCTAGAAAGTAAACAGGTTTCCTTGCATAATTTGAATACTAGGACACTGCTAACGCTTAAATTTCACAGATACACTGTAGGACATACATGACATATTCATAAATTCCTTCAACGTTCTACAGAATTCGATTTGGGCTACAAAAGGGATATACTCCCTTTAAATACTATCAGTAAATTCCTGGTATTACAATGCTGGACTAATGCATGTATTGTGTAATTAACATATTTTGTTTTCTTTTTCATTTTTTCTGCCAATCAGGGATGTCCTATTTGGTAGGCATGCTCCTGATGGTGATGAAGGAGGAAGAAGATGTTTTCTGGGCCATGGTGGCGCTCTTTGAAAAACCCAAGTTCCTTGCCGGCTACTTTGATATGAACCTCAAAAGGTTAGTTTTAGAGAAGAATGTTTTGATGTCGTTACAGTCAAACATGTCTATAGCGACCGCCCAAGGTAGACGGGTGGTCACTAAAGCAGGTTTGGCTGTGTATGGAATTAAGAGGAGGCGCAGTGGCTCAGTGATAAAGCGAGCAGTAGTCTCGTAACTGGGTTCAAAACCAATTCAATGTGCTAGTGCCCTTTGGGAAGGCATTAATCCTCAGTACCGAGACCATCGGAGAGGACTTAAAGACGTAGGTCCCCTGGTCGCTTTTTACAAGCATTCGCATACTTTCTTAGCAGTCAGTTAAAACAAACCAAACAACTAAGTAATTTATTAATAGACTTAATTGACAAATTAATTGCATGAAAATTAGTCAGATATGAGAACCAGACCAGGAAATAATTGTTAATCCATTCTTACTTACATTCATACTTGTATGATAATTATGTTACAACTGCATGAATTCTGTATTTAAACACTGTTGTAAATAGCTGTTATTTTATGATATGAACAAATAAAGTCCCTCTAAAGAGGATAAATAAAAAATTAAACAAAATTTTTACTTCTTAGCAAAACTTCATAAATCAGTTCAAATGTGTGATAATTAGAAGGAATTTTTTAAAAAATCATTGTGAAAGTATTAAATCAGTACAGTACAGGTTGTATGTAAGTCAGTGAATAAAAACAGCATTAAACCAGAAAAATATTTTAGAAGTGGTCCAGCCTTTCAAAAAGTGTGATTATATAAAATAAAATGAATTATAAGTTTATAACCCTAAATTTGGGGAAATAATGCACAATAGGGTTGTTGTGCTGCAAAAATGACCTGTATTAACAATCTGAAGAAGTTTCATGTTGCCTTCTCTTTTTCCAAGTTGTACATAACTCCTACATGTAGTTGTGAAGAGGTAAATGAATTAAAACATATTGATTATGTTTACTTTTTCTTTCAGAATCCAGAGCCATGCTTCTCTCTTCCAGAAACTGCTTGGTCAGCGCTTTCCAAAAGTGGCCAAACATTTTGTAAGTTTTAACGTCAGGAATTCCTGCCTCCATTGTAAAGTCCAAGCAAATAACTTTACTCTACCCTAAATGAGAAATTTCATCTAAGCTACGTTCTTGGCTGATAGCATGAAAACTTATCTTTGTAAGGCAAGCAAGAGCAATAGTAAAAAAAAAATTCTTACTCTGATGTCATAGATCCATAAGAAATATTGAGTGGATTCAACAAAATACATTTATGAGAGTTGCTCTTGACCAGTCCACGAACAAGAACGTTTCTGTGAGGGATGTCCTTCCATGATTATATAATCATACAATTCAGGGGGAAAAAATAGATATCAGGGGCTACTTTTCAAGCTTGCGTGCATGAAAAAAGCACTCTTTAAATTGTTTTGCATTGAACTCTATATATGCAAATTTTTGGGGGCTCTTTATGGCATTTCGGGGGCTAATTCGCCCCAAGCCCCTGTGTATTTTTTCCCTGATATAAATATTGTAACTCTTGCATTAATCTGTAATATAACCACCAATCAATTTTCAATCCCTTTTCTTGTTTGTCTGTAGGATTCTCTTGGTGTTCAACCTCTGATGTACGTCACTCCCTGGTTTATGTGTCTCTATACATCGCTACCATGCTGGGATACGATACTAGCGATCTGGGATCTGATCCTCCTGGACGGTAAATGATCTACTATACGCTATGTGGTTAGGGACCATAAGCAGGGTGTGTTGACACAAAAAGACACTTCCCGAAGACAAAGGGCAGAATGATTTGGAATGTCAGTGAAGAAAATGGGAAAGTCCACCCTGATGTTAAGTTGGTTTTGATAAAATCAGAAAAATGAGAGAAACAAATTTGTAAAAGTTTGAGCAATATCGGATGAGAAATAGGAAAGTTATGATTTGTCAAAGTTGAGATCAATCAAATACAAATTGTTTGCTGTATTAGTGGTAGTTCCACCAAGTCTTGGGTTTGTGAATTATGACCTTCTGCATATGTAAACTGTCAAGACCCTCTCCTCTTAAAGAAAATGTTGAGTTTTGGGGAAAGGTGAAAACTAATTTGTGAGCGTTTTCATTATTATTATGTAAGTGTGGAAGAACATCAGAGAAAAAAATCTCCCTGCTAAGCGTGGCTCTTCAAATACCTTCATATTCTAAATATGGCATGTAAACAAATTAAACTGTGGACCACATTTTTATGCCACTTGTTTGTGTAGTCCCATTTACATCTTTATGTGCACAGTGCTTGTTACTTTTACCAAGACTGTGCCAAATATCTTAACATTTTGATGATTCTAGAACCAATACTTATATGCTACATGTTCAACTTTTTCAATTCCACACCGTTTCTTTCACAATGCAATTGCATGACCAGAACTCAACTTTATCTTTAAGCATTGATTATTTGTATGTTCTGAGTCTCTCTCTCTCTCTCTCTCTCTCTCTCTCTCTCTTTCCAGGGGTGACCACCATATTCCGAGTCGGCCTCTCTCTGATTGACATCCATCAACATGTCATTCTTGCAAACACCGATCTCACCAAGATATTACCTCCCCTGCTGCACCCAAAGCCTGAAATGTGAGTGTGAACAGTGCTCTTATACCTTATTGGTAAATAGTGTTGAAAGCTAGCCTTGTTCAGACTATGAACAGCAGAGTCTGTTTGAAAGCTTCATCCAAAGCCTGAGATGTGAGTGTAAACAGTGCTCTTATACCTTATTGGTAAATAGTGTTGAAAGCTAGCTTTGTTCAGACTATGAAAATTTGAGTCAATTATGAAAGCTCCATCCAAAGCTCGGAATGTGAGTGTGAATATTCCTCTTCAAAAATACTTGGTAATGAGGCACAAGAGTATTGTGCCTCATTACCAAGTATTATTGAAAACTGGCTTTGCTCGGGCTATGAACAGTCGAGTCATGCATTGTCTCTGCTGGAGCTCTGACATTATTACCTTGGTCATAGCTGGCGAACAAGTAGCGCTCTGGCATGTCGTCTACTCATCTACACCTGGGTGGGGAGTGGCAAAAGGGGATCAATGTCTTTCCAAAGGACGTTAGTGCCGGGCTAGGATTTGAACCCTCAACCCTCCGATTTGAGTGTCAAATAAATGAACCACCTGGATCCACAATACATGTTTTGAAGAATCAATTACAAAGTGTTTGCCATGGCTTTTTAATCAATTTGACTACAGGATGTGTCAAGAAATCCTCATATGCCGACACCTCTGCAATACCTCTTTTTGCAGATCAAAAACAAAGTGTTTACCATTGTTTTTGTTATCCTTTTGACTACAGGGTGTTACATGAAATCCTCATACCAGCTGTATGGAAGATGAATGTAAATTTGAGAGTCATGAATGAACCACGATACCACGACACCTCCACAATAATTTTTTTGCAGATCAATAACAAAGTGTTTACCATTGTTTTTGTTATCCTTTTGACTACAGGGTGTTACATGAAATCCTCATACCAGCTGTATGGAAGATGAATGTAGAGAAATGGGAGATAGAGACACTCCAAGCTATAGTGGCCGAAGAGGAGGACCCTGTACACTCAGGTATTCAGTTGTAGACCCAGGACCCTGTTTCATAAAACTTGATATCAATAACAAGTTACAAGCTACTGTTATAAGCTACTGAAATCATGGCCGCATCTGAATGGCTGAGAGCAAATTTGATATCAATAACAAGTTACAAGCTACTGTTATAAGCTACTGAAATCATGGTATCTGATTGGCTGAGAGCAAATTTGATATCAATAACAAGTTACAAGCTACTGTTATAAGCTACTGATATCAAGGCATCTGATTGGCTGAGAGCAAACTTGATATCAATAACAAGTTACAAGCTACTGTTATAAGCTACTGATATCAAAGCATCTGATTGGCTGAGAGCAAACTTGGTATCAGTAACAAGTTACAAGCTACTGTTATAAGCTACTGATATCAAGGCATCTGATTGGCTGAGAGCAAACTTGATATCAATAACAAGTTACAAGCTACTGTTATAAGCTACTGAAATCAAAGCATGTGATTGGCTTAGAGCAAATTTGTCAAAGAAATTTTGCATTTGTTATAGATAAAAAAAATTATGAAACGGGGCCCCTGTATCTGAACCATCACTCTTTAGACAATCATCTCCAGACAATGAGTTCCTGGACAACATACTCCCCAAAGACAATTACCCCCCCCCCCCCCCCCCTCCACCCCCTCTTCTTGAAGGAGATGTGATCCTGTGTTTAATAAATTTTCCCAGGAATGCATTTGAGTGATACAGATATTTTCCAAGTAGTAATGAAGGGCGATGTGATCCTGTCCATTTCTGGACATAGCACTTTTAAATGGCGTAGTGCTTTAAAACCAGGCACTTTTACAATTTTTCTTTGGTCTTTTGGGGGGTAAAGGTCAACATATCTATTTATTTTTTCAGGACTCCTCAACCCTCTCTCTCTCTCTTTCACATGGTGCACCCGCAAACCTACTGTATATATTTATTTTGTATGTCTTGTCTGTTATTTTTGACATACTCCTCTTTATAAAAACTACAGTTCGTTGCTTGCATCGCACACTTTAATCACCTACATGTGAGGTTTGCAAATGGTTAATGTATGCGGGCGTCTACGAAGATAGTGCGACTTTCATTACAACTGGGTCCCTTCTTATACAGAGTTAATATCAATAACGACTGTGTACATAAGAGATGGGAGACTGCAAACTTGCAATTGATTTGAGACCTTGCGATTGCTTGAATCAATCACTAAACTATATTAGACGGGGCCCTGCAATGTTTTGTTGTTGTTATTATTATTGTTGCAGGGAAGAAGAGACGTCACCAGGCAGAGAAAACGTTTGGAGAGGTATCGCAGAATAGCAAGCGTATCAGACTAGAAGAAAAACCAAAACCAGGTGAGCTCACAACGTTCCCCTTTTTATGTTTTATCTGTATCTTTAAAGGGATCTGGTAACTTTGTATCAGATTCTGAAACAAATTCCTGGATTTAGCTCATGCTGCAATGATAATTATAAACCTTTAGGTCAGTCAGAAACCCCATGACTTTTACAAGCTGATCGCCTCTCTGATTATCAAGATATTTATGATTGGAAATCAAAACCAAATTTTCCGTTTGCCAGACGGTTTTCATAACACTACAGTCTATTGGGGAAAATGAGTCTGGTAAAACCAGTCACTCAAAGGTTTTTCCTTTTTTCAGGCACTTCTTGATCATTTTGAAGCGCAATTTTTTCAGGGCTTCAACATAACACCATATCACAGACACTGATGACGCATAGAGCCGAGCATCTCAGATTTAACTTTGTTAAACGATCCCTTTAAGATCAAAATTTAAAAGTGGCTAAGGTTGATTCTAAGTATTATAGAAAGACAGTTCTAGAGAATTCGTTGTTATGAATGAAGAATATTCCAGACATTTAGAAAGAAATCTACAAATTAATGATATAATATATAATAACTTATACGAGGTACTTGAAACATTCATCAAATTTATGAAATAGTTATGGAAGGATGTCATATTTAGTACACTGTTGGTCATAATGGTGGAATAATTATTTTTACCCCAACAATTTATGGAATGATTTTGACAATGATTTATTCCTAATAGATCTAAATAATAGTATATATTCTCAGATTTTATTGAATAATAATTTGCGAGTGTTTGTTTTGCATGACTGCTAAAGCATGTGTGAGCTACTATGCTAATCAACTAGGGGACCTACATCCTTAAGTCATAACTGACAGTAATGAGGATTGATGCCTCATAAAAAAACACTAATATAGCTGAGTGACAAGGTTTTTATTCTGGGGCCTCACAGTAACAAGGCCATTTCTTAGCCAATGAATCATGACTGTACGCAGTGGGGGCTAGGGTACGTCGCCACCCCCACAAATACAAAAAAACAAAGAAAATGCAATAACATATCAATAATTCATTGGATTTTTCCCCGGTCCCCAACACGAAAAAATCCTCTGTAGGGCCATGCATTATGGTTTAAGGCATGCCTACATAGATCTATTAGGAATAAATCATTGTCAAAATCATTCCATAAATTGGGGTAAAAATAATTATTCCACCATTATGACCAACAGGGCATCATTCTTTTACAGAGCTATATAAATGTGTACATTTTATAAATTTGTCAAATGGTTGATAGGAAACTCAACCCTTGTGATATTACCTCATATATTATAACATTAATTTGTAGAGTACTTAGTGGTAACTTTGAAGAAGAGAAACTCAAATCTTCTATAATGCACCTAAAAATAATACTAATATGTCCATTTATATAGCGCAGCTACTATATGAATATACTCTACTGCGCTTAAAGGTAATACAAAGTTTTGGGAAATTTTGAAAATTGGGTGGATAATGATTCTTTAAAATTTTGATATATTTAGATGCCCCTGTGGATGTATTATAAGTACTAGAAAATTTAGCCCCTAAAACACTTCTGCTCTCGAAAAAAACTTAATATAAAAATTGCTCCCGGTAAATTTTGATAAATTTCAAATAGCGCCTACGGCCGTACAATGGTAGCTGCGACCATGAAAATATCAGAATATGTAGTTGTGATATATAATTTCCAAACAGGAATAGCAAATCGGTCGATTTTAGTCAAGAAACATTGTTTTATAGCTTCATTAATATCTTGACCTTGAGAGGGAGCTATACAACATAAAGAGTTTATTATTTACAATTTCATAACTTCAGACTCGATTGCAACCGTGACAACGATCACAAAATATTGTAGGATCCCAAATGCTTCCAAAATGTTTGTTTGAACCAAATTCATGACCCCATACCAAAACTTTGTATTACCTTTAATACACAGTACCACATTATAACCCCGGCTGTTGTTGATCCTCCACCATAAGGCTTGAGCATTTTTAAGGAATTTTCCTACCAGGTACCGATTTACTTCACCTGGGTGGAGAGTGGCAATTGTCTGACAAATGTAGATTAATGTCTTCCCACAGGATATGAGTGCTGTGCTGTGACACGAACTAGGAACCATGTATCCACTAGGCCAGGGGAGCTTTTCACAAAGCCTTTTGTCAATGACAAATTACAAAAATCAGTGACAAATCTGCTGATAACTCATCATAAGCAAGGATTTCAGTAGCTTATAACAAAACTGTCATTTGTCACTGATGACAAGTTTTGTGAAATGCCCCCCCCCCCTTGACCCATCTACATGTACATACATGAACATAGATAGATGAATGAAAATACTTCATACCTTTAGAAAGATCTCTTGAATAAGATTTGATACACACAAAAATAGGTACATATGTCATAAGATTTTGTCTTGCTATTTCACAGCCGCGACCAGCAGCTTCTTCCAGCGAGTGATCAACATCTTCACTCCTCAGAACCAGAGAGACAATGAGCTTCCGGGTCAAGGAAGTTCCGTGACGACCTCCCGAGGTCAACATCGCCAGGACACAAGACACAGCCACCGGCTGATACAGAAGGGACCAGGAGCAGCACGACCCGCAAGGCATCGTTCCAGCTCCAAGGTCAAAGAGCTGTCAGAGGGAGGGTCAGCTTCAGGGAAAGCGATGAAGGGTGGTTCTGGGTGGAATGCTGCATCCAAGGAAGATCTGGCATCATCCAGGAAGAGGATGGAACAGGATGATGGGTGTGAAGCACAGGAGAGACGTACCAGATCTGGGTTTACTGCATTGGGAAGCGGTCAAACAAGAAAGGAGAGTGCCATGACGGATACCTCAAACTCGGGTAGGAGACGTACACCTAGGAAGGTTCCAGTTGAAGAAGACAGAGTGGTCTTCAAAGGTCTCAGACAAGTACCGCTGACACCAAGATCAGCTGGAAGAAGCAAGCTGTTTGGTCGCCTCCATGCCCAGGTCTTTGGTAGCGAAGAGCCCCAAGGGCCACCACTCTCCCACCCTCTTGAGGATCCGGCATCACCTGAACGCCGGCGTAGGACCCCTACCAAAGCTAGACGTAGTCTTGCCAAGTCACCGAAGCAACAGCAGAGGACATCTCCACGGGTGTCGACCAGATCTCAAAGACCACCATCACGCAGTAGCTGGTTGTCGCCCTACTGCAAGCAATACATGGTGAATCCTGCTCACAAGGCCCGCCACCAGACTCCACTTCAGAAGCTACACCATATCAACAACGCAAAGGACCTCCACCTCAGCCCACCAAGAAGCGCAACTCCGGAACTTGATTTTGACCACGTGGCCAGTCCCATTCGAGGGACACTGGACAAAGAGAACAGTCCGGCCCAGACCGTGTCACTGGACGGTCAAGTAAGATCAGCGCCCTCTATGGAGAGCCTGGAGTCAACTCCAGATGGTGTCCTGTCTGTTCTAGGTGAACAGAACTCACAGGCATGGAGAGAAATGAGGTAATGGTGTCCGTTTTATTTTAATTGAGAGATTAACGAGCACCAATAACATCATGTTCATTATTACAAACGCATTATTGTCCTTATTTTTATATAAACTATTTTGAGTTAGCAAGCTATTAATATCTCAAAGTGGGAACTAAAGGGGATTTGTAGGCACCAACCAATGTATGCATCCACTTATTTGAAGTTATGAACAAATCCTGCATCATTAGTTTCAATTTATTAGGACAATAGAAATCATTTCAATGAATTAAAGATGAACTAATCTTCTGAAGACCAACCCAGTAATTGACTGCTAGCAAAAATGCATTGGGGCAAAGATAGATGCAACCATCAAAAATGTTTAAATAATATTTCATACAGGCAAACCAATATTGGTCTGAAAATTCACATAAAACACAACTTCTCACAAAAAATCAATATTGGCCATAAATTCACAATATTTATAATTCATGCAAAATGCTTAATAAACCTGGGGACCTCCACTATGAATATTGTAGCCTGTTTGAGATTTCATTAAACATGAGCTTATTAAACAATAACTTTTGCTCCTTCTCATTCCTCCCCTTCCCTCCATGTTCTTGCTTTAAAGAAATGGCTTGTGTATGGCTTAAAGAAGATGTGTTTTTTTTTTTTTATCACAAAAACTATTCTGTCCTCTTTTTTTTTAATAGACAAATTACATAAAATTGTGAAAAATTATATATCCTTCAACTGATTGAACAGCATTTTTGCGTTTTAACAGATCCCCTCTGTCCGAAAGGTACTCCACACTGAATGAGAATAACAACTCGCTGTTCAAGACCCCTTCACATCCCATGCATCTGAGGCCCAAGCAGTTCACACCTGGCATGTACAGCGCAAGGACACCTAGAAGTGAAGAGCGCCACCTAGTGGGCTGGCAGAACCCAATGAACATGCCATCAGCAAGGAGGCTGGTCTGTCGGTAAGAAGTGTTTGTGGTACTTGATAGAAATTTGGTTTAGCTTGTGATTTGATTTATGTCTGTTTTTCTTTCTGTTTTCCTTAGTTTATATAGTTCTTTAATTTTGATTTTGATTCATTTGTTGTTTTGTTTTTGGTTGTTTTTTTCTTTTTTTTCAGGGTGGAGGATTTTTAAGGAAATACCTACTCTTATGATAATGACAGCTGCTGTGTATCTAGATCATGTATCTATGCCTTCCATCTCTCTCTCCCTCTCTCTCTCTCTCTCTCTCTCTCTTTCTGTCTCAATCTTCTCCCTTCTGTCTGTTTCTCTCTGCTTGTTGGGGTTTTTTCCCCCTATCTCATCTCTCTTTCTCACCATGGGCAGCAGTTATTACCTAATATAATATAAGCCTACCCGTGTTTGCTAAAATAGAGCTAAATCTTGAGATCTATTAATCGGTATTCCGTATACCATTACAACAAAGAGTTGCTCAAATTATTTTTCAAGAGCTTACCGTGCTGATTATGGCTTGGTTGATTGTAAAGTATATGGACAATAATGACACTCGACCGTCTATTTCCATCTTTTTTTCCTGTATTTTCTGTCCATATTAATTACATGTAGGTATTCATTTAGACCTACACCATACCACGTTTCTTAGTTGGAAACAAACATGTAATGTTAACAACTAGATTATTCATACCCTTACCAAGTTTTGTGATTTTGTAAGTACATGTATGTGAAAAATTGAATTGTTCTGATGTATGTTTCATGATAATGTGACATATTAAGGCTTACATCTAAAAGTATTCAACAAAGGCCCCAATTCACCCAGACCATCTTCATTCCGGAAATATGAAAAACACAAAATTATCAAGTTTACCAGGGGCATACATG